GAATGACTTCTCTACAGCAGGAGTTTGGTGGCACGGTCATACCTGCATCCCCAGGTCAGGCTTTACAACTTTCTGAGCAACAAAAGTTATTCTGGGGAAGAACATAAAATCCCAGTGAATCATGAACACGTGATGGGTTTAGGGCCATAACCAGTTTGCCTACAAGGAAGATTTTTCACAATCCAAACCAGCCCTAGTATTCTGTCACTTTGTAGTGTATTCATTGTTGAATCATCATTCAACCTTTCTCAGGTTTGATGAATCTGAGCAAATACACCAAGATCAACCAACCAACAAGAGCCGCAATAGCGTCAATATTCATCTTGGATTAGATACATCCATGTAAGAACAGAATCCTTTCAGTGAAAATGAGTCTTAAAACACAAATAAAATACCATTTAGCACTATAGCTTATTAAATACAATCTTTACAGATAAGTTATCGCTGACAGAAGAGGGAAAAGTAGACCTATTTAAGTGTATGAATAAGCTGTGGCCCTCTTTGCTCTCAAGCTAATTGGAAATCAATTGCAGTTCATTTGCTGGCACTTCCAGAAATGCCTGGGAATGTCTTGAGACAAACCTTTCTGGAGTGTCTAGCTTGGCGTTTCTGGAGGGGAAACTAATTGATTTCCAATTAAATATGACTAACTAAAACTTTTACAGTTGCTAATCATTGCACTCTACACATGCTCCCCCCAAGACTCCCAAGACATTTTTAGAGATATAAATTATCAAGAGTTAATTTAAAACCAAGCTTTAAATTGCCACCCTCCCTACAAACCAGGAGTTCCAACAACCCAGTAACTGGCTGTCACATACTAGTCTTTGCTTAATCAGGATGCTTCAGCAATGTGGTGATGAATCAGAAAAGGATTGCTTTTACTTCTTGTCATTTTTCCATTATAGCTGGACATTCACAAACACTAATACTGTCTAGAGCTTTGACAGCATGTCTAGAAATCCATAGGCAATTTCACAGATACTTTAAGAGAGCCAGTAACTCTTTGGTTTATTCAAGTAGTTCACCAGTAATGAACAGAGAGAGACACTTCATCTTACCACTGATATGTTTTCCTACACATTGACATTTCTGTACTGCATTGACAATTCTGCACATAGGTTTCTTCTGTGAGTGACTTTGCAGAGCTATACATGACTACTTGCTATTGAATGTGGCTGAAGATGAGAATGGAATGACTGCAATGAGACAGAAAAGTGTCTATCACGTTGTCAAAAACAATAAGGTGATTTACATAAGAGTATCTGTTATGCAAAGGTAGTAACAAATCCAATGTGTCTGTTCTGCATTACAAGAATTGAATGGCAGTTATCACTTGGACACCTGGAGACACCAGGAATATTTTGGTCAAAGCCTGCATAATATAGTGTGTTTTTATATTGACTTAAAGAGACATGTTACATAGGTGATAGACTCCTTATCAGATGAAACCCTAAATTCAACACAAAAGGGACAGCTGGCCAAATGTCAGGGATGACCGAGATGTAAGTACCAGAGAAAAACAGATTGAATTTGCTTTACTTTGAGTTGTGTTTTTTTCTTCCCTTTTCTGTTTTTAAATTTTTCCTTTATACAAAATGCCATGGCTCGGTGCACTTGAAAATTAAAGACTACCATGTAAGATCAAGGTTTGAGTCTGTCCATTCATGAGAGGAAATTAAAATCACCACTAAAAACCCCACTTTTTATTGTACTGATAGAAACCGCTCAGAAAATACCAGAAGGAAGAAATATACTCAGTATTTAATATACTGTTTTGTCTTTTTATATGTTGCTGGTTAATTTATTGAACAATGTACATATGCATAGTTAGACATTAGTGGCCAGATTCAGACCTTATTCACTCTGTCCCAGCCTCATCTGTACTGGATGGAAAACTTAGGCAGGTAGGCACAAACTAGGTAATGACAGTCAATACAAGGAATTAGGAAGAAAGAAATGATTCTGAGGCTACTTAAATGATACGTGACAGTAACCTGAACACAATATTAGAACTGTGTAGTCTAAATACCTTGAAAAAATGCTTTCCTTTTCCAACCTGAACAATTTTGACATTCACTGCTGGTGTTGCCAGGGAATTACACTTGTCATGACTACAAGAAATAGCTTGCCAGCTAAACTTCCTAAAACTTTACTCCTATTGTTCTTCTCTAACCTACTTTTTCATTGATTTAATCAATCTCCCTTAAACACATATAAACTTAGGCTGTACTTCTTAAAATGTTTTATAATAGCGCATTTAATAAAGCTAATTTAAATCTGCTAATTTATAGAGATTTGCCAGAGGCTTTGAAACTTCAGAAAATGTGTAAACCTAACAGTTTAGCTGTGATAACAGCTCAGACAGTGGAAATTAAGTCCTTTGCATTACAATCATGTTCAAAGTGGATTCCTAGTTTTATTGCAGAAAAGGAAAAAAAAAAAGTGCATTTAAAAAGTATCAAAGAAAACCAAATTTCCAAAGATATTTCAGGGCTAAGACCTTTCTTGAACCAAGGTTGTCTTTGCAGATCCATGTCCCACAGTTCTTGAAGTTGGTCACTACTCTGCCTCAACATCGCAGCCTCAAACACATCTTGAGTTCTCCATTTCAAGACTACCTAAAATCTTTTCTACAGAGTCTGGAAAAAGAAAAGCAGAGTCATCATGCAATAGACCTCTGACAGGGCTCTGAGACATGCTTAGGGCCATTAATTCTAGGTCCCTAATTCTGATTGTCAGTCTTACAGCTGATACTAGATAGGTCTGCTACTGTCTGCTCTGATTTCTCCCTCTGGAAACCAAATGATAATGGATTATATGCCAGTGTGGGAATAGGCAGATTGGTTAGGATCCAAGCTGTATCCTGGGTGACAGCAAGAAGAAGAGTGAAAAGGTATTCAGCTCTTCACAGTGATGCATCAAGGAGTTTCATTCTTCATTTTATTCATAGCATTTAGATGTAACTAAGCAATCATTATAATCCCCTGATTTGCAAAAAATGTCAGCTTTCCTTGAATATACAGTTGAATCTTTCTAGGGCTGCTGTTGCAGATCTCTCCTCAGATTGTTATATGGGAGAAGGCATTAAGACCTCCCTATGAAGGCTTGCAGGACTGCAGTCTCTTAAGGGATGCAGACTTATCACTTTGAAGCTTTTTTCGGTATTTGTAAAGTTCAAGTAATCTTTTTATTTCTTTTTCCCTGTTAATTACATCAGAATATTCAGAAATGCAATCTGGAATATATTATTGGAAAAGGATTTTTTAGTCTTGTCTGCTTCAGTGCTCTTTCTCTTGGTTCTGTCATTGCTGTCCTTGTTTTTGTGTACTGAGAAACAGAATTAAGGTGCACTGCAACCAGTGGACACTTGCATAAACAGGCTGCTTTGAATAAAACAGCACGACTGTGGGAGAGGAAAACCATATTCAGCTTTCCTGCCCGAATGCTAACACATATTCCAGGTTCATAAACTATTAAAGCATCATATTTTTTACTCTGAGACCACTAAAATACAAGGGCTGTGAATAGCAGAAAAATGTAAATAAACTGAATGGGGAACATAAAAGCACATTGATTCCCAGGTTCTGAAACCACAATCAAAATGGTTTATATTTGTAACTTACTTAAAGACATTTTTGGTGAATATATTTGTAATGAATCTCCCTCACACATTCTTATGCCTGAGAGCTTAAGTTTTCCAGGACTCCTGTAAAGCAACTTTTACTGCATCAGATTACTGCATTCCTTGATCTCGAGCAGCACACGCTCCCAGCAGCCAACCACACTCAAACACAAGGAACAGCACTAGGATTTCACAGCTCTGCAACAGATGCTTCAAAATAGATTTCTTTTTAAATTAATAATATTGGGAACAAGAAAGCAACTAACATGATTTTGCCCTGCCTCCAGCATTTCACAACCGATGCCGACTTAAAATTAGCACAATCCCCTGCAATACTTGTATTTCCATGTGAAACTTCTTCATAGCGAATTCCTGCAGAATTGTGAGCTGTCAGCTCTGATCACATTCACCAGCACACAGGCATTAGACTCTATTTCACAAGAGGAAAAGATGGCCAGCATTTTCCTGACACAAGTATCATAGATTTTTTTCAGTCAGTCAAAATTACAGAGAGAGAGCTCATTGCCGATGCATTTCCCATAGATAATGAGGACTGCAAATTACCAGGCAAGGATCTTTTTTGGTACACAGAACAAAAACCAGCACGATCTGCAGAACTTAGGAACTAATTGGGTTTCAAACCCCTTTCTTTGCATGCTGCCAACACGGTCGGAGTAACCTATACGCTGATCTTATTCCAAAGGCACAGTAATCTTTATGCTGCAAGAATTAAGAGTTTAGAGTGCCGTAGCGTACACAGCAAGAAAAAAAAAAAAAAAGCCTTTAGGAAAGGCATGTGCTGAACACACACAAAATATGCAGGATGGAAAAAGACCAAATGTAATTAAAGCTTATATGAAACCAGACATTCCTATTTGCAGAGCTCTGGCTGCATTTCTATGAGAAAGAATGCACAGAATTTCAAATCATGCTCTAATTAGACAATGTCAGAAGAAAAACACATTCTTCCCCCCCCACACCCCTCCATCCACCGTACTCTCCCACCCCAAGACTCCAAAAGGCAAATCTCATCATCAGAATTAGAGAGAAAAAGCAATCCAAAGATGCTGCTTTACATATTCCTTCCCAAACCAAGAAACCGAGTATCTCCCTCTCCCGGCTAATAGCTTATAAATTCAGTCTTTAAACAAAAGCAGGAAAAAAATGAAAAGAATCCTATTTCTCAAGCTTCCTACTTAGCACTGCCTTGCTTTTGATGATTTGTGCGGCTGTGTGTGCGTGCCTGTTTGAGAAATGGCGAGATAGGCTTAAAGTATTTTCCATTTCATCAAAGAGCATATATTACTTTCCTGGTTCGCTCCAGTGTTGGTTTTATGCCCACCCCTTTTCAATCTGCCCATGTCTGAGATGCACAGTGCAGGCGTACAATCATGAGCAGCTTACGACACTCAGTGAACACTAGGTGCCTCTGCATGCTCTAGCAACATACTGCTCAGCTGAAGGGAAGGGATTCTTGCTGTCTCTCTCTGCTCTAAGCATCACCTAACAAGCAAAGCGAACAAAGAATGGGAAATAAAGCTACCCTTAGCCGGTCAGTGAATGAATGGTAATCTCTCTATGGAGTAAAGGTTGTGCCGGTCAATGGTCGTTGCAAATGATGGACATTAAACAGATTGACAAATCCTGTGGAGTCGTTAGTACAGAGTTTGGAGTTTTTTTCACGCCACAGTGTTAACTGCAGAGAAAAGGACAGAGGGAGAAGGAGAAGATCAAGCTCATGTACATAGTTCTGAAACTTGCAGGTCCTAGGAGTCAGCTAAAAAGCTAGCTGGACAAGCCTTTCGCTCTTTGAGCAGAAGCAAAGTGAGACATTGTGAGCTTGCCAGCCTTGCACAAAATTGAAAGGGACTGAATTTGTAGCACAGAGGGGTCTTTTTTAGCTCTGCATATAATTAGTCCAAACACAAAGGAAGCAACTGAATGGAGGTTGTCACTCTCTGGAAAAGGGTGGGTAAGACACTTTTTAATTAAATTCTTTCATGAAGAAAGATTTTTTTTTCCTTTGCCGCAGCATTTAACATGAACAAAATCACTATCATTTTACCTTTGAATGTCTGTGAACTTTAATGCTGCACAGCTCCTGCATGCTGTAAAGTGAAATATTTGCCTCTGTGTTTGTTCTGTTTGCTGTTTTGCTTTGGTTTTCTGCCTTGGTTTTGGGTTTTTGGGGGTCTGGGTTTGTATTTTTTATTTTTGTCTTCTTTTTTTCTTTTCTTAAATAAAATATGATGTAGAATTTGAAAAAGATTCAATGGACATTCTCAAGCATATTTGGAAATATCCTTGCTAATGGATTTCCTTCTTATTGGTCTCTGTTTAAACTGGCTGCTGAGGAAGCCCCCGGGGTTGATATTGTGTACGCTGGGTATCTTTTCTAAAATGCTTCCAGCTGTGAATAGTGGGTGTCCACAGCTATGTCGGTGTGAGGGCAGGCTTTTGTACTGTGAATCACTGAATCTTACAGAGATGCCTCGCAACCTGTCGGGCATGATGGGCTTGTCTCTGCGGTACAACAGCCTTTCAGAGCTGCATGATGGACAGTTCACAGGGTTAATGCAGCTCACGTGGCTCTATCTGGATCACAATCACATTTGCTCAGTGGAGGGGAATGCCTTTCAAAAATTGCGGCGAGTTAAAGAGCTCACCCTGAGTTCCAACAAAATAACCCAACTGCCCAACACCACTTTCCGACCCATGCCAAACTTGCGCAGTGTGGATTTATCATACAACAACCTACAGTCTTTGGAGCCTGACCTGTTCCACGGGCTGAGAAAACTCACAACTTTGCACATGCGGTCGAACGCCATCAAGTTCGTGCCAGTGAGAATTTTTCAGGACTGTCGCAGCCTGAAGTTTCTAGACATAGGATACAATCAGTTAAAGAGCCTGGCTCGAAACTCTTTTGCGGGCTTGTTCAAACTCACTGAGCTGCACCTCGAGCACAATGACTTGGTGAAAGTGAATTTAGCCCATTTTCCCAGGCTCATCTCCCTGCAGTCTCTCTGCCTGCGAAGGAATAAAGTTACCATTGTAGTAAACACTTTGGACTGGATATGGCAACTCGAGAAACTGGATCTCTCCGGCAATGAAATTGAATACATCGAGCCTCATGTTTTCGAAAGTGTACCTCACCTCAAATCCCTGCAGCTGGACTCCAACCGGCTGACCTACATCGACTCCCGAGTCCTCGACTCCTGGAAGTCCCTCACTAGCATCAGCCTTTCTGCAAACGCTTGGGATTGCAGCCGTAACGTTTGCGCCCTGGCCTCCTGGCTGAGCACCTTCAAGGGTCGCTACGACAGCAACCTGCTTTGTGCCACCCCTGAGTATGCACAGGGTGAGGATGTTTTGGACGCGGTCTACGCCTTCCACTTGTGTGAAGACACAACAGACCCGACAAGTGTGAATACCCTCTCCCCTGTAACAAACAACAGCGACCAAACGTTCAGCTATGGCTCAGCCACCGCCACGTATGACGTGCAGGACGGCGACGAGGACTGGACAACATATGCCATCACCGTCACCATGCCTGGCGAGAACTCGGAGAACGCCGTTCAGATCCATAAGGTGGTGACGGGAACCATGGCCCTGATTTTTTCCTTCCTCATCGTGGTTTTGGTGTTGTACGTCTCCTGGAAGTGCTTTCCAGCCAGCTTAAGGCAACTAAGACAGTGCTTTATAACACAGCGCAGAAAGCAGAAGCAAAAACAGACCATGCATCAAATGGCTGCCATGTCAGCCCAGGAGTATTACGTTGATTACAAACCCAACCACATTGAGGGAGCCCTGGTGATCATTAATGAGTATGGATCTTGTTCCTGTCACCAGCAGCCAGCGAGGGAATGTGAGGTGTGATTTTCCTTGGGGATTTAAACAGTGTGCAACCAAATAACAGCGTGCAGGCAGACGGTGGCACAAGGTGGGGGGTGGGGGGGGGGGGGTTGCTGTGCTTGGCTGGTGATTTCTGATGTGCTCCTCTGCCGAAATTGTTAAGAGGGGCTGTCTAAAAGACTTGATATTTTAGCTTTATCGTGTCTTAAAAACCTTCAGGACAGTCAATCTTAAGATTTCATATGCTAATAACTCCCTTTGAAGATCTGTCAATATTCAGGAATCTGAGAGTGTAAAAAGGTACCAATTATTGATCTTTTGTAAACTAAGAAAACTGTTTAAAATAAAAACAAATAGCATTTACAGTTTTTACAGACTGGTGTACATTACATGAGTTGTTCCCTGTATACAAAAATGCAACAGTTTAACCTCTTTTTCTCTTCATTCTGAGTGTTGAAATGAAAGTCTGGGAGCAAAGAAGCCACGTAAAATAGAAAGCTTAAAATTAATCAGATGGCTTCACACTGTAATTAGCACACGTTCACTTACATCATGTTACTGAAGATATGAAGCATGATACTGGAATTATATTTTTGTTAATGTGCTACCTGTAGCTGGATGTGAGCACGACAAGGAGCCAATGCACCTCAGAAAGGCTAAAGTTTTGACTGTGTCCCTGGGACAGGATTTCTGAGGATTTTTAAGTACAGCTCACTTGTTCATTGCTGTAAGATCCATTAAAAAACTGCATCCTAACCCCTGAAAGTATTTTGTATCAAAACTGATAATATTGCAAAGTCTCTCTAAAATAAAACAACCAACTAAACCCAAAATGACCAAATCACTGCCAGAATGTCCTCAGCATAATTTTCTTTAAAGTAAAAAGGACAAAAAGTTTCTAAATTCAAGGGTTTTCACTAGCATTTTCCACTTCTATGCTTGTTTTGACATATGCTAAGAGTAAAGAAACCCTTGCTTTGTGCACTGTGGTGCCATGGTGAATGGAGAAGAGGAAAAGCTATTTGGTTCTCAGTGGTGAAATCTATGTGTCTTTCAGGAGTAAAAGCTTGGCTCTAACACTGTCAGAGTAAGACAGAGTTATTACAGCATACTTCTGGGTCCTATAGTAAACTGCTAGCAAAGCCTATGTCGTGTCCTTCATTTTCACCACCAGCCTTCACTAACAAAACCACTCTAAAATCTCTGCAGAGGCTGAAAGTATACAAAACCTCCTTACTAATGACTGATGAATGGAACTGATGGATATAAGCAGTGGTTTAATAATGTGGAATCACAGAGCTGTTTTATCTGACTGCCCTTAAATAAAGCCTTCCTTTCCTTGTATTTTGGATTTTTCATTCCAATATGTGAACAACCTACTGACTGATCTTTTCAACAACTCCTCTCATACTAATGAAGATGAGGTAGTTTTATAACATGAGGCAGAGCATCTCGAAATTTTCTTCATACAGCATTATATGCTAATAAAATGTTATGGGTAATGGATTGGGTAACATTTCTTTGCTTTGTACATATTTTTCTATCTTTAGGTTACCACCGGTAGGGGAAAAATCAGAAATCTAACATGTATTTTCATTTATCACAGGTTTTTTCTTTTTTTATAGCATCAAAGTGCCACCTACTCTTAAAAGGCTACAGTAGACTTAGAAAGCAGAGAATAGGCACAGAATAAATGATTTATTTTCCCTGAACAGCAGGTTTTAGCCATTAGCTTTGAATGTAAAGAGTGATATATATTTTTTTTTTTTTCTGACTGACACTATATTTAAGGAGTCAGAATTTATTTTCCCCTATTTTTACATCTCAACCTGTTTAATATTAAATATGACCATAGCCTCTTAAGCAAAATATGTATTTACGGAGACTATAATCTCATCTGTGAAAGCAATGAGATTAGGCATTGGGAGAGGACCTTTACATAGAAAATGCAATGAAAATCAAGTGTTTTTATACTAAAGGCAGTGAAAACTCACCCACAGCTTTGAAACAAGCTGGCACTGGTAAAATTAGGCTTTTGTCTCTTTAAACAAATGCACATTTCTGGTTTTATGCCTCAAACCCACAAAGGCCTGATCTATCCTGAAACTCCCAAGTGATATGAGGGCTTGAGTGTCCATGTACAAACTTGCCAGTGAGGACAGAGGGCAGACACAGAGCCCCTTCTCTCTTTGGGGGGGTGCCTGCTCATATTTTAGGAGAAAATACTTTATGCCATGTTAACTGAGGGCCAAACTATATGTATTTTTGCCATTAAACCCTTCTCTGAAATCAATAGGGAATTTAACTTGAAAAATTGGCTCTCTAACTTTGAACTACGTGTTCTTCAAATCAACATGCAGCACTGCAGCTCAAAGCACTGGCTACAGCTAGCTGCCAGGAAGCTTGCAAAACTATCTGAGATTGTTAAAATATTGTCTGCCTATGGTAATAAAAATATATGTATTATCTTTACTTCCATACTGACCCCCTGTTGCTATAAGGAATCATGGTTTTAACCTGTAAATCTGATGTAAGACTGATACCAACAAACAATCATCCCATGGTTGTATTCCTATGTATTTTTAGCAGATTTGTGGGTTGTATTTTAAACACACTAGTGATTGCACCCCTCTGGAATTATTCCTGCTGTTTATTGGTGTTAGCAACCTCAAGCTACGTTTGCAAAGACGTGAGCAATTCCATCTTTGGAATTTATTCTCCTCTGTGCTTCATGCATCTTGCATTGACAGCTCAAGTAAACTGAACAGCACATTTTTCTTTAAAGGTGCAGTGATTTCTTAAATGAGAGTTGATTTGGTATTGCCTGTTGCCATTTCTCCTGAAGAGAAGTAATGACCACCACCGACTTGCCACCCTTAGCAGGATGATGGATGGATCCTCCATATAGAGCACAGAACTTATTTAACTTCAGAAATCCATGTATTTTAAAATCTTCATGCAGAAATCTTTTCTAAAAGTAGGTATCATACAGAGACAACCCCCTAATGATCTCTAGAGGATATCTGGTGACCTTGATACCCTCTGAATATTTACCGGTGGGAAAGAGGAGTGTCACTGCTACCACATGGCATGAAGGTATTCCACTCTGTATCCACACCTAGTCTGAAAGCTTACCTGAAATACATGCGGATAATAAAGAAATGAAAGAACAAGTATTTAATTTCAATCCAGCTATTGCAAATCCAGTTAGTCATCCTGCTCCAGGCTGCTTACATTGGTATATATGAGAGTTATTATATTTGTATTGCATTTACAGCAACTGCAGGGGCAATTTTCCCCTAACTCATGCTTCCATATTTCATGTTCATCAACTGGCCAGAGATATGTCATTCCCTCTATTTTGATGCCCTTGTTCTGGCTTATGAAATGGCTCCAAAATCAAAAGGAAGAAGAAAAAAGATGCTTTTGGGGTTAGTTGTGACAGTGCTTTTTTTCAGGAGATGCTTGGGGAATATCAAAGGATGGAAAATATTTTAAATATTCCCCTTTTAATGTTCCACTTAATAGGACTAATCTCCCTTTATAACTGGGTAATTAACATGATTTTCTTTATGTTCAAGTGTCTTTTAACATAGAAGGGAGAGTGAAAGGCAAGCAAAAGAACTATTTTTTTTTTTTTTTTTTTTGAGGATGGTTATCACTAGCAGTGATATAGATCTCTAATATGCAATCTCTTGCTGCTAACATCAATACACACTCACAGTGTGCCCTGTGTTGAAGGAACTGTTGCTGTGTATGTTTTGGATGCATATAAGGGATGATTTATTTTCCTTTCTGTCTTTTTTCCTTCCTTTCTGTACTACTTAAAAAAGAGAAAAGTGATATGAAAGCACAGGTTCAATGCTAATGTACCACATTCTGTTTCTGGTCTGAATATGTAAAATACAAAGAAATTCTGTGTTAAAGCTGCAAATTCCCTCCTTTACCATGCTGAGTACTGCAGAGGGTTAGACTAAGGATACGACTTGTTCCTCCATGTGCACAGCAATAATGTACCAGTCTGAAGATGCCGTTGCACGCCTGATTCATAACTGCCTTGCATACGTCTGCCAGAGAAACATCATTAAGGATACCTAAGGATATTTTTGTATGCTTTAATATATTCTGTATGTTTTTATGGCTAAGGCATTGGAGGGCATTTAAAATGAGTCTGTCTGATCATTTTCCTTGGTTCTGATAAAAGCCCCTCATTTGCTTTTGAGATGGACTCAATTTGTTCCTTGTCTGCATCTCATTCTGCATTAATAGCAAAAGGACACTTTGAATAGCCCTCTCTTTCCCCCAGCTTCTCCAGTGGTATCCAGAATGGCAAATATGTAGGACTATTTAATCGGGAAGGTTATTTCTAGTGCCATAATAACTGTAATAACAATAAGAGAAATAAAGAGGAGACAAAAGATGAGAGAAAAGACTGGGGTAACAGCAACTAGATTGGATTTTTACTGGATTCCTTTTCTTGTTTAAAGCTGGTGAATCTAAAGGACTAGCACTGATGAAAAAAGCAGGACTGAAGGTGGTGCAGAAAGCATCTTTAAAAACTTTGCAAGCAGGGATGAAACAGCTCCTGGACAGGAAGGTACAGTACCAAATAGCTTCATTAAGCAAGAAAGAGAAAAGGAAAGGGGTGAAGGGACAGGATGAAAGGGAAGATGAGAACTGCTGAGAAGGCAAGGGGACCACTGTGCACAAAGGGAAAATGAGATTCTTTCCAGTGCCTTCACCTCCCACGTTAAGACTGTGGCAAGGACAACTCAGAGATTCAAGCAAGATACCCAGCATCTCTCTTCCCTATCTCTCCCTGTCTTTTCAAAGTCAGTCACACACAGACTCTCATTGACAGAGGCGCAGGGGGACATGCTTTCCCAAACACACACACACGCAGCCCCGTCATTTCCTCTGCCACCTTTCTGCTCCCTGGGAGCACAATGTCCCCCTCATCCATCATTACGTTTGCTGAAGTCCAGCACTGTTCTTCTTCCATTAATTTTTTTTTTTGGCTGGACTTCTTAGCTCTCCTAGTCACATTTCATCACAGACTTTCCAGAAAATCAGACTTTTCTACCCAAAATATCTCTTCCTCTTTTTATTTAACCCCATTGCTTAAGAAACCGTCATCTAGAGAGAAGAGTGATCTTGAGCTACAGCAGATTCTCCTGCTAATTATATCCACCTTCATTCTCCCTCATATTCAGCTTTTGTATTCACAGCTATTAAGACAAACAGATCTATTTTTGCTGTGTTCAATTTATCATTATGCACCAAGGTTATATTTTTCCTTGACCTGCTCAACCCAGTGTAATATTAACAAATTGAGCATTTATGTGGGTTCCTTTCCGAGCATGAAGTTGATTAGAAATTTAGGAAATGCTGGTGATTTAAAGATTAACCTTTCATGTAATTACTGACATAAACCAGAGCTATTAAGATATTAGAAACAACTACACAGAGTATATTCTACATAAAAGAATATCACATTTAGAGCCATGTGAAAGACTTCCCATACTAGCCAATTATTTTTTTGACAGCAGAAAAACCTGATGAAAGGAAAGGAGTGAGCACAGTCTACCTCTAAGCTTATGTGGAGGAAAGCAAGGCTACAAAAATATTACAGAAACCAAGCAACAATCTTCTGCTGGCAAGACACAACTTGTAATTGGGTGGGTGGCTGTGAAGATCTGAGATGAATGCTGCAGAGCACTGTAATTTTATTGCAGTGTGTCTGCTTTAAAGGGAACATATTTGCAATGAAATCTGTATTTCCCTGAGAACAGAGCAATTGTTTTTTGTTATAAAGATAACGTCACTTGTTGGCATTCAGACACAATTATTCAGCCTTTAAAGCAATTACTGTTCTTACTTGTCTTTGCTGGTGTGATAGTTGGGTGAGAGAGTCAAATGTAACAGGCTGCATTGAAAGGAGTTTGAGTTCAAAGTACCCAGATTTGCATTACAAGAGAAGAAATTCAGTTAAAAATAAAGACCAGCTTTTCACCTTTGCCTCCATTTCCCCTCTTCCTGAAAATCCAAACATGTACATCACTTATAGAAATTAGAGATAATTGGCAGTGACTAAAGGATAACGTTATGTGTGTCTGTGCTTGGCAAACAGCACTTACTATTCTGCTAAGGCACTTTTTATTTTAAACCATTGCACTGCACTCATGTTCCTCACATCCTCACCAGACTCAGTAACCTCCGCCAGAAAGATGTCTTTCAACAAGAGTGCTGTGGGAACATGACCAATTCGATCCCATTTCTGAGCTAACAAAGACTAAATCCAAGATTTCAATGTTAATAGGTAAGTACAAAAACTACTTAATCAC